CAGCATTACCATCACTCTTCTCTTACGGACGAGGACACTGTAGATGAAGCATACTGGAGGTGATGCGCCCAAGGTCCTAAGCCTGGTGCTGCCTCTTTCCAAAAATTACGGTCTCAACCACTATCCTGTGTTCACTGTAGGATTAGTTAGGGTGCACAGGGCTTTTTAGAAAATTAGAAATTCTTAGGATTACAAATTCATAAGACATATGTTCTGAACTTTTTTCTTTTTCTGTTTTTTTGGTTAGAAGTTGCTGCCTTTTGTGTTTGCCTGCCCTGGTGACTCTTTTAAGATTATTACTGTATCATTAATAAATACAAATGTTAGCATGGCTCAGTCTCACAAGGCTATGCAGTTTTACTCCATTTTTCCCGTTTTAAACATTTAAAAAGGATTTATGGGGCTGGGGATTTAGCTCAGTGGCACAGCACCTGCCTGGCAAGCACAAGGTTGTGAGTTCAATTCCCAGTACCGGGAAAATACCAAGAAAAAGAAGAAAAAGGATTTGTATGACAATTGGTTTTCTCCATTGAGTAACTTTTTTTTAAACTCCAAAAGACCTGAAATTGTATTGATCCCCCCAAGTTACTGATAGACTGTTTTTAGGTTAGAATTGCTTTCAGACTATTCCCCCAACATGTGCTTGTATTGTGTACCTTAGCTTTGTGTCACAGGGGCAAAATTAGTTCTTTAATGGGAACTTTATTAAATCTGGCCGACTTGCAAACATCAACTCCCCCTTCTGTCATTGGCGATAACCATGCAAGCAGTCAGCCTAGTATAATGTTTTCACAGACTGGTTAGAGACAGCCAGGGTGAGCTTGAACAGGGGATTCTAGGAGGCATACTGAGGAGGCTGTAGACTGCCCAGAGCAGCCAGTGAGGAGGGCGTCCTTTTCCCTCCAAGTCGGAATTCCAGCTGCCCCTTTCCATCATGCTGGGGACTGTGTTGCACTTGCCAAGTTCATGGCGCCCCCTTGTGGTGCAAGGGACACATCACAACGTGAGGAAGCAAAACCGCGGTAGCAGGCTTAAATAAAGAGGCTCCGCATTTAGCTATGACCTTAGCGTTGTTCCCATTTGTAAAACTCCCAAATGAATAAAATCTTGTTTCTTTTTTTGTCTTAAATTTCTCTGTAGCTATTTCTGTCATATTCACTGCGAAGTGTTTGGCGGGAGAAACAAATCAGAAAAGCAAGCACAAATAATTTGATGCCAAGTCCTACATGACTTTTAAAAATACTTTCCTGTTATTTTTTGTGACAAGAGTATTTTTTATTACATGCAGTCTGGCAAGAATAAAAAGAATCATTTACAATCCAATGGCTCACGTAGAATACTTCAATTATTATTTTGATGTATTCTGCTGCTGTTTTTTTTTTTTCCCCTAGGTTTTTAGACTCATAGATCAAAAAGGTTCATGTCCCTTTTCTTTAAAAAAATTGTTACTTTACCCACTTCATTACTTCTGTAAGCTTCTTCCTGTCACAGAGTTGTGCCCTTGAGCGTTGCTAGTGGCTGCTTGTCCAGCTGGTTTCATTCTGTGTGTACACCACCGTTAACAGACAACACCATCCCTCTGCCTTCTGGATTATTGTCCTCTATCTCCTTAGGGTCACTTAGTCCAAATAATGGCTGAATTAAAAGGGCATGCAAAACTTTAAGGCTTTTGATATCTACTGTCTGTTCATTTGTTAATCTACAGCATTTTTGGATGACGCAGTTAAGGGGGAAAGGCTTCACCTTCCTACCACTTGCATTGTTAGTCTCTGTCAGGAGTAGTGCAGTGTTTTACATGCCTCAACCTCATGTAATCCTTCCAACACCCTATTATTATGTTGTTGTCCTTATGTTGCATATGAGTAAAGTTGAGTTTGAGGAAACTAAATGGTCATTATGTGACTTCCAAGGTCAGGAGAGAATATAGTTTTCAGGAATTTAATAAAAAATAGCATAAATACATTCCTCAGGTCTTGAACTAAGTGGGAATGAATACTGAAAATTTTCCCGTGTAAATTTAAAAATATGTAGATGGTGAAAGAAGGCAGGAGGAAAAGAAAATATGTTCCTCTACCCTTTGTTTAGAAACATGAATAATCATCTAAGGGAAGTCCCTGGCAAGTAGGTCCTCATGTTAGAAGGCACTGCAGTAGACGTCGGTACAACTCGAGCACTTCTTCCACAAGAATGTTTTGAGAGTCGTACAGGTTTTTTTGTAAATTTTAGTTAGCCTCAGTGAACCAAACTGGTTAAATGACCCCTGCCTAGTCAAAAGTCGACTCAGGAAACCTGCAGTTTCTGAACCAAGCCAGAAGTAAACCTTCAAGTTTAAACTTTTGAAATTTTAGCAGTCTCCACAGTTCTTTGCAGCTTACCTTTCGTTGTTCACTATAGACCTACATGTGCCTTCTACCACTTTCACCCAGTATTTTTCTCTGTATATTGCGAGACAATTATCTTTGTTATTGAAAGGTCAGAAACAGCCATAGCAAAAGCAGAAAAATAAAGATTGCTCATCGTCCATGCACCAATCGATATTGCATATGTGGTGTTCGCTTTTGGTTCGCACTGTGTATCTACATCAGTGGGCGTTTACCCAGTACTTGCCGTTCCTGGTCAGCTCTTCTTGGACCCATCCCCACTAGCTCAGAAGTGCAGCCCTTGCCTAGTGGGTGTGAGTCCCCAGTTTAGATTCCCAACGCTAAAAAGGAACCTTCCTTTCAAGGAAGATCTCAGGTATCATTAACGTAATAGAAACATCTGCAGTTTCCTTTGCCATTTGCCTCTGTGATGCGTCGTGGAGTTTGTTAGGCGTCTTCGAAAAAAGCAACACCCTTCTTTGAATTTTTGTAGCATTGTTGGCTTTGCCACTCCAGCTCTGTCCTTGAGGTGGTTCTTGGGTCTTATGCATTTTTCTGGTTACCATTCCCTTAATTTTGATATAACCTCTGTATGTGGAATTAACCGCTTGATAATTACTGGAATTGATAATTATGTAGTTTATCAAAGATAGCTCTTTTCTCACCACTCTTTGGATTTTAGGAGCCATTTATTTGCTAATCAAAGGCATAAGCCAGGCTTCTAAGTTCTACCCACTTGATGTGGGAGAGGCCTGCAAAAGGCCATTTTGTTTTTCTGTGTTTGTACTCTCAGGCGCAAAACCTTTTCCTCACAGACCTACGGGGATGAGTTTCCTCTTGATGTCCTGAGCAAACCCTTCCGTGGTGATGGAGACAGGTTCCTTTGGCCTGGGGTTCTTGAGCTTCTTCTCATGCCACCTGCGGCCTCCGCCCCTCCACACCCGGGCCCTTCCCTATTCTGCTAGCGGGAGACTCTTCCAGCAAAGGCAAGAGAAGGTACAGCCGGTACACTTGTGGTAGCTCTAGGGTTCTACTCTTACCCCAATTTTCTTGACTCCGGGTGATACATACCAAAAACGCCTGCTGCGGCAACTTTCCTTTCCAGAGCATCCGTCCTCTTGATAAGAGTCGTCCTGCAGGGAGAAGCTAGGGTTTCCCTGTCTCCTTTGCCGCTCGGATTCCTAGCTGTGCAGATGCAGGGCTGTGTGGTCCCTGGCTCTCTGCGCCCAGGCACCATCTCCTTCTACCGCGAAGTGTGCTTTTTGTACCTGTGGTCCTCTCCCCAATCCCTGGCAGCTCTTCAGATCTGTCATTCTGTCTTCACCTCACACTTTTATTTACCATGGCCCTACAGGCCTGTCTCATTTATGGCCTACTTTAAAGCATTCCTTTCATAGCTGATGGAGCCTATAAACTTTGGAGCAGAGAATCCGAGAGCCCTAAGCAACCTCACCTTTCCAGGGAGAATGTATTCACTGAGAAAGGCGCTTTTACAAGGTCGGTCTAGCTAGTAGTTTTTCTGATGGTATCGCTTCTCTTTCCTTTTAAACATCCCGTCAGGTTCTTTTACTGTTTTCATCCTGTAAGTGCATTCTGGGTAGACTGTTTTATTACAGTTCTTGTCTGCAGACCTGTCCTCTGGCTTTTGAGCATTGTCACCTGTATGCAAAGGTTCTTTTCCTTTTTGTGGTGTGTGTCTAATATAAGGGGATCAGGTTCTAAATAATATCAAGTAGTTCAAAAATAAGTAACTTGCATAGACAGGGTAGGTAGGTATATCTGTTGTGGGTATACAATGCAGATATGGATCCTGGATATTGTGTGACTCAATTACAGTGGTATTTGAAGGCTCCTATATGTTGGCGGTACATATGGGTATATCTGAATGCATCTAGAATAACACATAGAGTGGGGGTGCCACACTGGCAGAATTTTCATGGGAAATTTTCCCTTTTTTATAATACAAAAATATTTTTCTGACTTTTTAAAAATTAAGTTGTCTAAAAATTAGTGAGTCAGATCAAAGAGAAGTAATGTGTTTAAGTCCTAGCACAACATCGGAAACTGAGGGCAGGCTCCAGGGCGCCCTAGGTTCAGATGTTAGCATATGGGCTCTGAGTTATGTCGCTGCCCTGCTGCTCCTATGCATATCCCTGCTGGGCGTGGCACTCTCAGAGGCCTGCTTTTATAGGACAGCCCAGTGGCTGGTGTCCCAGTGGCCAGTACCAGCCAAGGTGAAACACCACCCAACTGCTTTCCAGCTAAAGAAGGTGTTTCATGTGGGATGGGCAGGCTCTGGGAAGTGCTGTGTAGTCCTGGAACAGCCTTGGGGACAAAGGTCCTTGTGACACTTTCAGATAATAGGAGGTGAAGTCACATACCCTGGAAGCCAGGTATTTTGGAGAGAATTCACTGCTGGTTAGGACTTGCTTGCAACCTTCCTTTGGAAAATATAAGAAACTGCCACCATTTTTTCTTTCTTTTGGAAGGAAGGGGGTAACTCCAATGTATTTTTATTATGAATAAGTAGACGGTCCACTGGACAACCTCTTCTTTATTTCTTCACGTTTCACCCTTTTTCTTTTCTGTTTTTTTTTTCTTTCTTTCTTTCTTTCTTTCTCTTTCGGTCCTGGTCCACAGGTTTTGCAGTGCATGCTGAATTCTCTTCAGGCAGAACTTGATATCCAAAGGTACTTGATGAAAATTGAATCGTCTCAGCGAGTTAGTACTCTACCTTTTCTTTTTCTGCATTGAGTTGCACCTCCCCTTGTACCTTTTTACTCCTCTGTGTTTGTGTGGCATTCTAACCTGTGGTGTGACAGAGCCGGATTGCCTGTTCTTTCCTATTTGCCCCAAGCCCTATTCAATGCCAAGTGCCTGCAGCCTTGTGAAACATGTGCCTTTTTAAATGATGCGAGCTGGTATTAGAGTGAACACTAATTGCATGCTCGCTTTGAAATATTTAATATATTTCCCACAGATGGATTTGGAATCACCAGTAATGCAGCAACAAGGCAGGGATCTTTGCACAGTCATCTGAAAAATGGTCCAGTGTAACAAGAGGCCCCGTTCTGGCCAGTAACGCAGAACCCTGCGTCCTTTTAACAGCCCAGACCCAAAGAAGCCTTACTTTATTCCGTTTCAACACATCTAATACTGGGTCCACATCGCTTTATTGGCAGACATTTTAATCATGATGATGATGATGGGAACAAGTCAACATGCTTTCCTAAGTACTTCACAAGTAATAACTTCGGGGCTGGGGATTTAGCTCAGCGGCACAGCGCCTTCCTGGCAAACACAAGGTTGTGAGTTTGATTCCTGGTACCAGAAAAAAAAAAACAAAAAACAAAAAACAAAGAAAACCAGGTAATAACTTCTTCTAACAGCAATGGGGGATAGGCCTACAGTGATCCCCATTTATAGATGAGGAAACTGGGGCACAAAAAAGTTAGGTAACTTGCCCAAAACCACACAGATAATTACTGGCAAAGCTGAGATTTGACTCCAGGCAACCTGACTGCAAGAAATTGTCAACGTACTATTTTTTTTTCCCATAAGCCTCAGCACTATCTATTTTATATTGGGTTAGCTTAGAATGTTAAACTGGAAGAAATGAGAGCGTTCCCAGCCATTTGGCTTGATGTGGGATCCCTGTACAGTTAACACTGTGGCACAGGGCCAGCCCTATCCCTCTGGCCCCCAAACATGGACCATTTCTCAGCTGTCTCCTGACCATGCACATTGGTCTCTATTGTGAGGCCTGAAAAGCCCTGTCTGTAGGAAGTGCCTCGCTGTCTGGCCTTTGGAAAAAGATGACCTCCTTCCCTCCTGGTCACTCTTCAGCAACTGCGCTGACCTCTTCACCTTCCCTTTTTAAATAATCAGTCTCTTTGATTATTTTTTTTTTAGGACAACAAGCTCAAATTAGAAAGTTCCTGCCCAAACAGATAGACATAAAAGTCAAATGTGGGCTAGATATACTAAAGAGAATCATTGTGGCATAATCTACAGGATCCCAATTCTGACAAGTGTTTGCCCTTAATTTTTCCATGAGTTCTTAATTGTTTTCACATTTCTACAATCCGTGCAAAACAGAGGCATCGTTACATTTCCTTGCACATGTATTATACATGAAGTAGAAATACAAAAAGGAGAAGGAATGCAATGTGAGCCCTTCCCTACCACTTTACATAGCCATTTCCTGCTTCAGAGCAGAGACTAAAGCCAGAGGGGACACGCAAAGCATTGCTCATACCTTTCTTTTCTCGTGTGGGATCCACCGGACCTCCCTGGTCTGGCAGAGGCTAGGCTTCCTACATCTACCCTAATGAGAGGGGTACTGTGTATGGGTATCTAACTGCTTTGTGTCATAGTTCACAGATCGCTGTTGGGTGCATTTTTTTTTTTTTTCAGTTAGTCTCACCACAACTATATCCAGCAAATATTCTGATTGTTTTACATATTAATATACAGTTTTTTATTTGCACTTCTGGGAATGGAACCTAGGGCTTTACATGTGCTAGGCAAGTGCTTTACCACTGAACTACACCCGCAGCCCCTCAGGTTATTTAATTAAAGTGAAAGTTGAGGCTCAGAAAAGTTTCATGTGGAATCACACCGCCAGTATGAGTCATTATTTGAATCTGTGTTCCGTAAAATAACATGATAAGAAAGAACAGCAAGCACTCTCATCCTTAATTTTATCTGCGCTCTAGTTCTCTAAACCCAGGTGTTCTTTCACATAGCAGGATTAGAGGAAAAAAGGAATTTTTGATCAGGAAAGCTAGTTAGAACTTTCATCAGTTGCTTTTTCATTTGAAAACGCTTGCTACGAAATTGGTCAGGTGGAGGTGGGGGTAGCGTGTGTGTGTGTTTGTGTGTTTATAGTGTGAGTTAGAAAATAATAGCAAATTCTATTCCCAGGATGTACAGAATAGGTCTGGGCACAAGTGCTGAGCATTAACGGCAGCTCCTGGTCCAGCCCTCTTTGGGTTTCCCCACTCTGGGCCAGTGAGGACATCAGAAAATCTCCCAAATCACCACCGTGCCCTCCCCAAGGTTGGGACCTCTGCTGTTGTTGCAAGCCTCGCTGTTTCACAAAAATGCCACTGAGCTTTCAGGGTCCCGCCCCTTGGCCCTGGGGCCCACGTCCCTCAGAAGCACTGAAGCTGAGGCTGTGGGGACAGATTTAATAATAGCTTTTGTTAGGAAGTCTCCTAAGGTATGTACTTAGCACTCCGTGTTCTGCTGGCTGTATTTCCCTGGAAATTTCAAAGCCCATAAGGAGGTCCCTTTCCTTTCATCACTGTAATAACAGCAATCCTCACATAGACACCTTTTATCCGGAAGCCTTTTAAAGAGAATTCCTGGGTCTGAATTCCAAAGGCATCTGCAGTCTTGCTCAGACTACAACCCGGAGAACTTGAGAGCCAAAGCCTATTGAACATTTTGCTTGCTCCTAATGTATACCTTGCTGGTTTCAGAAAGAAAGGAAGCAATAAATTAATTGATTGCTTGATTCAGTAAAGAGACATGTACTCGAAGGCAGATATGCTAAAAATCAAAGGCAAGACCTCATTAAAAGAGGAAACAAATTTACAAATAGTTGCTACTGTGATTGGCTTTAACATTAAATTTAGCTTCAGGCTTTTTGAGATATGCCGTATTTTACATAATTTTCATTATATGACAAAGTAATACTGCATAACGCTCCAGAAGACCAAATTATTTTCTTCGTTTTAGATTCTAAAAGAAACAGTGCTCGCTCATGACTTCGTGAATGAGACCCAGATTGACATCATAGGCAGGGTCCACAACTGAACAGCAGTCTTCTTCCTCTAGCCTTTTTTATTTTGTATCAGCCAATAAAAGAAGAAGACATAATACTGAATAATAATTGCATGAATGAATGGCTGAGAGGGCTGGGGATCTGAGATCCAGATGTGGAACTCGCTGATGACGCTACTTTTGAATTTGATAGAAGGATGCTAAATAGAGATGCTGAGAGGCGCCTTGTCTTCTCAAAATAGCCTGTGTCTAAGGCTGGCTTTGGGGAGGAGTCAGACAGCGGCCAATTTGGGGAGTAATTTCCGAAGAGAGTCTGTGTCATGTCACAGGTAAGCTACCAGGTTGACAGATGGCAGATTGACATCTAATCCTGGAAGATGGAAAGACGAGCCGGCCTTCTGACCGGGCCAGGCACCATGTCCTACCTGCAGGACAACAGACTTAGGCACCAACTCTGGGGAGACGCCAACCCGTTCAAAAAGAATCTTGTTACCTACACACGGTGACAGGACTAAAAAGCAGAAAATGTGGAAGAAGTTTCACATAAGTGCTAAATTCCAAGTTCACCTGGAGTCAAATTTTAAGAGCCTTAAAATTAAGTTACTGTAATGACATTAGAACTGCAGGATGTGGAAAAGTGTCTCTTTAACATGTGAAGTGTGATCTGCATGTCCAAAATTGATTTAAAAGCTTGAACGTGGAAGTCCTTGCTATTTTGGGTTCTTGCCACATTTTGCATGGCATGGAAAATGAGAATGTGTTTCTCAGCCTGTGTTTTCACGATGCACTAATATTATTTCCAGGACCGTCTTTCAGCCCTTTAACCTGATCCAGCCATACCGAATGCACCCATTAGACAGGAACGGTCATGAATACCTTCAGCTCACTCATAGACAGGAAACCCCTGGATCCTAAATGTGTGTGACAGTCATCCCCTCCTCTGATCTGTTCTTTTAAAATATTAATAGATATTCAGTAAATTCTTTGATATGCAAATACAATATATTCTCACTCTGGAGAAATGGAGAAAGTATGCTATGCGTAATACCACCATCAAAAGAAAACCAAAGTCAACATTTGGGTGTATTGCTTCCATATCCTAAATTATATATATAAAAAAAAAAGCCTTAAGAACACCTTCAGTATGACTGCATAGTGTTTCAGAACATGAACATATTGTAATTGTTAACTAACTTTCTAAATGGTTTCTAGATATATGGATTATATTAAAGATACAATATGTATAGATTTGCTCCTTGCCACTCATTTTTCCAAATCATATTAATGTGGCTTGGCTTCATCAAGTATCAAGAAATTCATTCTCAATGTATTCAATGTATTCAATGCCCCCTCACTTGGGGTCATAAAGATCCTAGGGAGCCTGTTTCTTCCTACCTAGTGAGACTGGTTAGGGATTGGGTTTCCTGTCTCTCAGACTGAATGGCTTCTTCTGGTGTCTGTTTGCGGGCAGGTGCATGGGGATCTCTGCCAGGTCACCCAGCCTTGGCTGCCTGATTTCAGCCACCCTAAGCACACATCCACATTCCCAGGTGGGTTTCTCTTTGCAAATGGCCCCCAATTCTCCCCAGTTTGAAGAGCACCATCAGCATCACCATTAACAACCACAAAAGCACCACCTGCTTTGCCCTGGAAAAGTCAGCCACTCCCCCTCTTCCTGCTTAATTAGTAACCCTCTTCTCTCCAGACTCATTTTCGAATTGCCCTTATTTGCAGAACCTAAGTTCGTGGGAGGGTTCTCACCATGGCCTCTGTAGCAAGAAGCTTCTGTTAGCAGTTCCCCCTGGCAGTTCCCCTCAGATCTCAAAGGCTTGGCAGTCTTTCCAGGAAGTCTGGGGTAGGAGTAGAAGTTTCATAATTTTTAAAATTCTTTTTGACAATCATAAGAGCAAATATAAATTAATAGGATCTGA